CTTGGTCACCGGGAAGTAGTGCTTCTTATATACATCATCCACTACTTCTCTCAGTATCTTCGCACGTATCAATGATCGTTGGACTTGATAGGCTGATAATTCACGATGATCACTGCTTTTGAACTTCTTCTCGTCGACGTACACGAACTGATAAGGCTCATTCTCATTGTCCTCATAACCGTACCATTCCCCTTTTCGTTCCCATTGCCTTCTCTCGTCTTCGAGGTAGGTGATCTCCCCATTCTCGTCGACGTCGAGCACTTCCTTGAACCACACCATTTTCTCGGGGATCTCGGACTCGCCAGACCATCTCGATGATACGCTCATCGCGTCGTCATCGTGCTCGTGGTAGACAGTCTCGGCTTCGTCCGGTTCGACCTGATCAACGTCCTTCTTGAAGCTTACCTTCCCTGCAGGAGCCGTTTGCTTCAGGACTATCGCGGGCATTGCGATGGCCCTCCTCGCAATGGCAGGCGCTGCGGCTTTGGCGGCAGCCTTCGACTTGGCTTGCGCCTTGTCATTTGACGTTGCTGGAGCTGAATTGTTCTTGATGAGCTCATGCCAGTACTTACAAGCGCTTCCCCTATCGCACTTCCCCTTCTGAAACGCGAAGCATGCTCCATCATCCCTCTTTGGTGACGATGATCTGGACTTGGATTTGCCCTTTCCTTTCCCCTTGGACATGCTCTCCAACTTATGCTCCGTCTTCTTGCTGTGGGAAAAAGTGCATTCATTCCCCTTCACGCACCCCTTCGCCGATTTGAAGTGGTACCAGCAGGGGTTATCCTTGCTTCCGCCCGGACTCTTGCCTCTGTCGCTGGCACCGTCGGACTTGCCGTTCTTGCCAGCGTGGCCCTTTGCCCTGGCTTTTGGGAGCACAGGAGCGGCATCAGGTCCACCGGGTTTCCCCTTTCTGCCCTTGCCACCCTGGTTCTCCTGTTTGCCAGTTGCTGGAGCCGCATCCTTCCCGCCTGACTTCATCATCGACTTGACCGATTTCTCCTTCATGTCGAGCATCAGGTCTCCCCGATCTGCCTTGATCTGATAGTCGATCAACGCCAATAAGAATTCATACGTCTTCTGAGGATGCTTGTCCGGTAGTCTATGGTAGGCATTGAGGCCGAACTCCATCTTCTTGCTCCCTTGGATCTTCCTGTAAAGGATGTCTCTGAGAGCCAGCTTACTGGGTCTGTCCTCGCTCCTCATCTTCAGCAGCAAATCATACCATTTGTTCCTGAACATGACCAAGTTCTTGTCGCCAGGAAAGTCAAGGTTGAATAAATGCTCGATGCGGTAGACAAGATCCGTTCTATCGGAAGTTCTGAATGATTGCATAACTAATGCCACCAACTCTCGTCCCTTCACGATCACCCCTTGTTGATGTCGTAGTTCAGAGTGTCGTGTAGCATCGAGGTATACGTCCTTGGCTTCGTCAGGTGCTTGTTTCATCATGTTCTGCATGCCCATGGCCATCTTAATATCTATCGTAGCAAATCTGTCGCCACCTGAATCGCTAAGCAAATCCAGGTCTGGGTTCAACCCAAGAGCCTGCGCCAGCCATTTCGTCCATGCGTCGGTATCTGGATCTGCACATGCGCTCAGAACATTCATCAGCAGTTGCATCTTCCAGGTGTCAAGTTGATGGATCTTTGGCCAGGCCGGAATAGATACTCTCTCGGCCTCTTTCCTCGAGATTCTCGGTCGATCATTCATGATCTCTCGGTTATCTCTCGATCTCCTTCGTCTCCTCCGTGTCCGATCGTCTTCTTCCTCTTCTTCTTCCTCGTCTTCCTCATCTCCTTCGTCGTCGTCATCCTCATCCTCATCATCGGGTGGATCATCCGGAGGTCCTCCTCCGCCACCAGCGAGGCTCAACTGACGTCGACCCTCTCCCTGCCCATTCCCATTGGGCGGGAATCCACCGTAATCCAATGGGGGCGTAGTACCGTTGTTTCCCCCCCCATCACCACCACCAGTCGTAGTAGTGGATTGTGGGACATGCCCAACAACCCCTTGCATCTGGGATAGGTGTACATCGATCATTGGATCACCGACAGACGGAAAGAGGATCGAACCTGGCATCAGCGACGAATTAGGGATTTGATTTGAAGACGATGACGGGACTGACCCAGCCACCTTCTTGTCTATCCTATTTGAATTAGCCTGGGTTCCTCCCTCAGCGCGTTTCACTACTGCTCGTTCACGATGTCCATCTTTGCTGCAGGAGGCTTCCTGTGTCTCCAGCTTCTTGTGTGCACGTAGTTCCTCGTTGTCAGCATCGAGTTGGCGTACAAAACTCTCTTCTTGCTTGAGCGTCGCCTCTCTTTCTTTCAGTTGTCTCTGAAGCTCATGCATCTCCTCGAGGTACTCATCGTACATTCCCTTAGCTGTCAATCTCCAGTACTCAGCCTCCTTCGACTTCTCGTCCACCGTGCACCGTTCCTCTTGTTTCTCTTCTTTGACCTGGGCTAACTCCAAGATCGCATCCTGACGATGACCACCTTCGACAGCAATCATCTGGTCCTTCATCGACACGTCGGACTCATACTGTTTGACGATCTCTTCTTTTTCGCGAAGCAAGCAATCTGCTCTCTTCGATTCATGTTCCGCAAATACTGTAACGTCATTCAGCCTCGCCATCAGCTGTTCCCTGGAGTCCTCCAAAGAGTACGTCTCGGGGCGCTTGACGAGTGCATGCTCCAACTGTGATTTCAGACGTTGGACCATCTCCTCCTCGTTGAACTTCTCGATAGATGTAGAAGATTCTATGCCTCTGATCTGTTGCTGATAAACTGATATCTGTTGTGAAGCCTCACGGTGTATATGATTTGCACGTATAGCTGATTCCTGCGCGGCCGACTTCTCGCTTGCCATGTAGGATTTCATCAATGCAATCTCCCGCTTCTGCTCCATGATAGTTCCTTCAGCTTGCCTCATCTGTTGCATTATAATATTCGACTCCATGTCTTTCTTCTCCCCGTACTGAAATGCGTTCATTTCCACCTTGCGCATCTGTTGGGCTTCTTCCTCAAACTTGCGCCATGCCTCAGACATGTGGTGTTGGTGGTGACTCACTAGATGTCCCGACTGCTTGCTGGCAATCTCGCATCGTCTTTCCAGCTCCTGGATCCGGATGGTGCTTCCATAGTCTTCTTGGTTAAGATTCGCCATTGCTGCCGACATTTCATCAAGTGTCTTCTGATATTCCCCGATCTCCACCTCCATCGTATTCTTCTCTTTGATCACGGCGCGAAAATCTGCACTGGTGGGTGATTTTGACCTCCCACCCTTCGATGTCGATCTCACGCCCTTCTGCGACGTCCGTGGTGTCGCAGGCGAAGATGATGATCTTCTCGGTGGGGATTCTCTTTTCATCGACTCCTGATGAACATCGATCTGCTTCCATGATCTTGTGGGAGTAGATATGTCGCTGAATAGCGCGGAACCTCCGCTCCCAGGTTCATCCTGTGAATCTGCAACCATATCCATCACCGCATGAAGAGCCATCAATCCATTGGATCCCTCTGAGCTGCTGTTCCCAAAAGTTGCAGTACTTGGGCTCGCCGAAGACGCCATTGTACTGTGTAGGTTATCGTTCCTTTATTGTCCCTGTACCCGCAATAAACCAGCTGACTCCCAGTCCAGTGTAGAGCTTGTAGTTACGGCTGATAACCTGTCAAGAGACGGCAAGGTGACGTCCCGTGGGACGCTATGCACCGAACCCTCAAGCTGTACTACCAACCACGTAGAAAGGTGTATACGGACGATGCCGTTATAGCCGAACCCGTGTAAACGTTGTAAGGGAGAAGGAATGATAGTTACAACAGTAGTCCTGACAAATGCAGCGAAAGCGAAGTGTTTTCGCTCTCAATGCCGATCACGTATGTATGCAGTCACACATCAGATCTTGAACCTCAATTGTGTCTTGAGCCAAATGGCGATCAATGGAACTTGGGAAGCAACACCAACAAGGACCTCAGAACAGCTACCCAATTTCGGCACGGGGCCTAGAGGGTTTTAACACTAGAAATGTGTTGTTCTTGTAATCATGACTATCACTAGTATTTTCCTCAGTTAATTGTTTCCTCCTGCGGAGATAATATTTGTGTTCGGTGTGTGTTGTTTCTTTTGTCCAAGGAAGTTGCTCTTGATGTTACTGCTGCTTTGTTCTTGCTGCTGCTGCGGCTTCTGTCATTGGCAGGCGTCGCCGTTGGTCCTGTCATTGTCTGAAACTAGCACATAAATGGCCCCTACTGTTCTTCTTTTACTTCATTAATTAATTAACTAGAAACAACTGGCTTGACCACTTTAGCATGCATTGAGGCTCTGACTCCACGGCAAGCTTTCGCTCAAATGGACGGGGAGGGGTCAGATATGCTGCAAACCCAATTTTTCAGAACTGCCGCAGAATCTCATAGCACCTGATGTCCCAGTGCCTGTTGATTCCTTGGATATAGAGTCAAACCGGATCTCATGACAAAGGCGGGGCACCATCGTTGCTGTAGTTGAAGACACCAAAGATCAAACCAACGAAGTCCTGAGCTCCGTGCTATGCGGAAGGATGCAAAAGTCTCCAGGTCACCAGGACTGCAGTTCATCCTATCCCGGTCTTTTGGCTCCCCCTTAAGGCCGCATGTTGGCTCCCTCAAACCACACAGAAAGCCAAAAACATGACACCCGTGTGGAGTACTTGGACCATAAAACCGATCCACCAAGGTCCGCTCTTGTAGAATTCCACCAGGTGTCAGGGTCCATGGACTGGTACTGCAGCTGCGTGCGCAAGTCCACGTGGCTGGGAAAGCAGGTGATGTGGGGGTGGGAGTGGTACCAGCCCACCACCCGGCAGCTGCACTTCAGCACCTAAGCCATCAACATATCCAAAAGCTGATTTTCATGGATGAGTCTTTTGGATTGTTGCTTCCAAGTCGGCCATGAACTACGGGATATGTTGACAGCCTCATGCGGATAACCAATATGGATTGCAGTGGATCTCAACGTGACCCTCTAGCTTCTGAGCAAATTTCACCTAAGCCGACAGTGGAAATCATCCTTCCTGTGATAACAAAATGGTTGAACCAGCCAACCTCCTCCCTGCAGTTGCGTTAGCACAGTGGGGTGTTCTATTTTCCCGGGTCCGCTTTGCATGCTTAGCATTTCTTGGTCAACATCGCCAGCATTACCTGCATCATCCGCATCAGCGCCTGCCAAGGATTTGGATGATGCAAGTGATGCTGGGGCATGATGGGAGGGAACATCTGGAAATGAAACGGGGAAAGGAGAGAATCTTAGGGCGGGAAAGAGAGAAACGATCTTAGGGGGGGAAGCGGGGCAAAAGATCTTAAAGGTGCAAAGATCTTAGGAAGGGAAAAAGATCTTTGGGGGAAAACGATTTTGGGGGGTGAAGGGGGGGGAACAGATATTATAAGGGAGGGAAGGGGGGCAAAGATCTTGGAAAGGGGGGGGAGCAAAGATCTTAGGGGGGAAATGGGGGAACAAACCGGGGGTGAGGCTCACTCCCGGGGTGCGAAGGGAACTGGTACCCTGTGGTAGTAGAGGTCGTTGATTTGGTGCCTGGAGAGAGTCCAATATGCCAGTATGGAGGATTGGAGGATGGATTGTTCTTGGTGGCTTGTGTTGACTCGGAATCCTGTGAAGCGGTCTGCAAGCCTTTTATCACTGTACCATGTGTCGAATGACTGTACAAATGACGTAAAGGGCCTTGAGCCAAAATGAGTAACGGCGTGTGTTGAAAGGTCAATTGGTGTAACCAAAAGCAAAACAACAAACCGCTCCAGAGAGTACGACGGCAACCAGCGTCGGTCGATTTATTTTCACCGCACTGCCTCAAGTGGGTGGGATCGTACCTGTTGGTCGATCTGTTTCAATCTCTGGAGTCGGTGTGTGTGTCTCTCAGACACCACTGACTCGAAAGTAAAGTACAACAAAATAAAAGGTAAGCAAATGCAAGTGCATGCAAACCCAAAATGTTGTACAGCAGAGTTTCGAAGAGGGAGTGGACGTTCTCCCGTCCTCTCACTCGATGCTATAAATGCAGACCGACAGGTACTGAGGGCATGCAGTGAAAACTGGTGAGGGTGGGTGGGAAAGAAAAATTTGGCTAATTCGCCAAAATGGCGAACGGAGCATGAATCAAGCAGTGTCATCCTGCAGGCACTCAAGGTTCGAATCTGAGTGTGATTCAAATGCCTTCCGCTATCGGTTGTTACTTTTAACACAAGTGTTAACCGCAACAACAAACCGCTCCAGAGAGTACGACGGCAACCAGCGTCGGTCGATTTATTTTCACCGCACTGCCTCAAGTGGGTGGGATCGTACCTGTTGGTCGATCTGTTTCAATCTCTGGAGTCGGTGTGCGTGTCTCTCAGACACCACTGACTCGAAAGTAAAGTACAACAAAATAAAAGGTAAGCAAATGCAAGTGCATGCAAACCCAAAATGTTGTACAGCAGAGTTTCGAAGAGGGAGTGGACGTTCTCCCGTCGTAGGTCAACTCCCGTCGAAGGTGAAGCCGAAGGCGAACGACCTAGACAAAAGGCACGTTGAAGGCATCCTTACATCGATCAAGTCTCCTTACTGTGGACAAGATTCTCACGGGACGTGGAAGTCAAGTCGGGTTCAGGAGGAATGATTCCTGTGGAACTGTTGGAGTTCCTTTATGTCGTCAAATCCGACGGCATGGGCGAACTCAATATCGCCAATGATTTTGCACGTCCGTTTATGTAGAGCGTGCATGGGGGGTTCCAGAATCTGCCAGTGGTGCTTCGAGGCAAGGGACATGTCATGTCGACTGAAGGGGTCGGCTATATTAGCATGTGTGGGCACACGGGCAATGTGCAACTGCAATTGCTGTCGGTTGTGCCATGTCCAATGTGCACCGAGCAGGCAGTTTAGTGGTTGGTGTTTCCCAACTCCCCGTCTGATGGCGTGTTTGGCCGCTTCGTTGTCGCACAACTGGAGGTAGGTGTCAGTGATCCATGGTCGAAAGATCACAGGAGCGATCAACGCGGCCCATGCCTCGAGGAAATAAATGGCGTTGGTGCCAGTACTCACTTGTTGGAGTAAGTTAGGGGGTAGTGCGCCCGAGACCACGCGGGTCCTGTGTGCCTGTGGGCTGAACAGCACCGCTGCCCATCCGTTGTCGTGCGACCAATCGGGTGGCAGACAATCCCGATCCCCTGCGTCCTTGACACGCCAGACCGTCTCGCCCTGCCGACAGAACGCGTCGGTGTAAATGATTGAGAGGTCTCTGGGCCTGGTGGACAGTGGGACGCTGCGGGGTGAGCTATGTTGCAGGATATTCAGGAGGCACAGAATGGCAGCTCGAGTTGGTTTGTCGATCCGGTCGGAAGTGCTGTGTGCTTTGTGGTATAGGGCGGCTAACGCCGATCGCCCTACTCGACCGAACAGGTGCCCGGTGACAAAGTTGCACTTGCCGGCAGTGCGTCGGGCGGTGTCGTTCGACATACCTCCCTGTTCGAGACACTGAGACAGGGTGTGTGACAGTGTACGGACTCGGTCAGGGCACGGTCGAAGGGTTGCGTGTGTTGCCGACAGGTCGACATAAACCCCTTGTATTTTGTGAGAGGGCGCCGGTGGTTGTTCCTTGGATGTCTTCATATGAAATCCAAGTAGTGAGTTGAGCTTGCTGAATGAGGAGAAGGAACTGGCCGCGATGTGACTGGGCTGTATGGCCCCGTAGTCGTCAACGTAGTGCAGGGCAGGTGTGAGTGTAAGTACGCGGGCGAGTGCGGTGAGTGCATCGCCGAAGCGGTTGTAGCCCCAGACGCTGGCAGCGGAGCCGAACAGGAGCACGTGGTGGTGCCAGAGAGTTGGGCCGTCGGGTGTGATGAGTAGCACGTATGCTACCTCCGGCTGTGCGAGGGGCAGTTGACGGTAGGCGCCGTCGTGGTCGTGTCCCCACACATGTAGCGGGTGTGCGTCGTCGTGATATTGTCTCGCACATTGGATGTAGTGGTCGGGTGTGTGATGGTAGGGTTGATCGTGCATGGAGCACGTCTGGTTGTGGCCGCTGCGGCGCCAGTCTTCTCCTCTCCGGACTTTGGGTTTTCCGTCCGATCCGGTCTGTTGTATGCTGAATGCGACTGCCACAATGGGATCGCGATGTGGGATAGGAAGGAGCCGGCTGGTGTGGGGGAAAAGGTGCAGGGGTACTGTGCGAGAGGCCCAATGAGTCGGTGCCTCGAAGGGGCCGGCCATGCGTCCCTGGGCCACTTCCCCTGCGATTTCGGTGGCCATAAGAGTCCAGTGGTCGTCGATCTTGTGTTGTTGTAATTTGCGCTGGATGTAGGCTTTGTTGAATGACCTGAGTTCTGCAAGGTCACATGGGTCCAGGTATTTGTGGTCGTGGCGAATGTGCCAATTGACTCCGGGTCGCAGAGGCCCCAGGAGGTCGAAGCCTAGAGAGAGTTCCTCGTGCAGGAGTTGTGCCTGTGGGTAGTTAAGCAAATGTAGCAAGTGTGTCATCAGTGGTACCTGAGTGATCATCTTCGGTTGTCGATAGGCTCGCTGGCAGTGTGGGGGCAGCTGTTCGAACCATGCAAGTGTATCCGTAGTCAGGTCATCGCGAAGGTCCGCGATGTCGAGTAACACGTTGTGCTGTAGTTGTGGCAGTTGTGGTATGGTTCTTTGCATTGCGATGGCCCACAAAATGGTCGGGTCGCAGTTCTGGGGCTGTTGCAGCGAGGTAGCGTGGTGTTTGGCCCAGGTCAAGTGGTCCTGCCAGTCGTTCTGTGGCATATGTAGCGTTTCCGATGCTCTCGGAGGTGGTCCCCATGGTCGTGGGTTGTGAAGCCAGAGGTCGACCATCATTCCGAGGGATCCGCGACGTACCCGCTGCATGGGCGGGGGAATTCCGAAGGCTGGCTGTAGTAGCAAAAGGAATAGGATCCACATGGCTGTGGGCACATGCCAGGAGTTCCCCAGCATGGTGTTTCTGGTCCGGTCGGTGTTGTGTGGTCCCGTCCAGCCGCGCGGGAATCCCATCATTGCTTCGCGGTGCTCGGGTGTTGCGACTTGCCAGTCGTGTCCGTGTTTCCGGACCAGGTATTTCTGTTGGTATTGCCACGGGGCGAATTGTTTGTGGTCGGCTTGCCACCGTTGCCATGTGTCGTCTGGTAGTTGTTGGCTGCGTGGTGGTGGGCGGCCTTCGTCCGTACTGGCCTGGGTGGTAAGGCAGTGGAAGAGTTGTCCGTGTGTTAGGACACTCGGCGGGTCGAAGTCCCGGATGTGACAGTCTGGTTGTAGTTCGGCTGCAATGGGATTGAAGAGCACTGGTGGGAACAGCTGAGTGTCGAGGGAGAGTTGCCAAGGTGTATGCCTGCTCAATGTGGCAGGCAAGGATTCCCAATCGACCGAGGCCCACCAGATTCTGGGACGAGAGATGATTTGGCCGTCGGCCGCGTCGATCAGGACTGGGCGCAGGCCCATGGAGTGGGACAGCTGGTCGAAGTCGTCGCGTACCTCGGGGTGAGGCACGACATTCTCTAGCAGGGTGAGCGATTGATGTGGCCATCTGTGCTGAATGTCGTCGCGGATGGAGAGTGCGGTGTCGAAGAGGCCGCCCTGTGAGCCGGCCCGGCCCGGTTGGTGTTGTTTAATGTTGGAGTAGTCCTTGCACGGTGGGCCACCGGTGAAGAGGATAATGTGTCTCTCGTGATTGGGTATGTCCTGGATGATCGCAGCCAGTTGTTCGATGTCAAAATCTTCTACGGCGCCCATGTGCATCGAACAACTGGCTGCGATCATCCAGGACATACCCAATCACGAGAGACACATTATCCTCTTCACCGGTGGCCCACCGTGCAAGGACTACTCCAACA